AAACTATCTTAAAATCTAAGAGAACTTGTCTACAGATATAAAAACCTGCTAACCAGATGAAAAACTATCTACATGGTTATAGAAATCTATACATAGAGCTATCTGACAAAAAGAAACTATAAACTAAAATGCACTTTAACCTGTGCTAAGGGCTAAAAATTATATACATATAATTTCGGAATATTGCATATCTCTATTATATTGCTCCAGTTTACAACTCTCATGAAATCTACCTCGAATCCTAGAATGCTGATTTTAAAGTTTTGATATGTAATTATCGGTTTCATTTATACCGAGCTGCTCTTTCTGAATTACAAAATCCTCTAACAGTTTTCATAACACACCTTGCCTCTTTGCTATACAAGATTAAACAGAGGTTTTCTCCATGATCTACTGGTATCATTGGAAGCTACTCCCTCAGATCTGTCACATAGAGCCTTCATTCCTGTACAGTCAAAGCTAATCCAACACAGAACTTCCATGTACTTCGATTTAACCCAAATAGAACTTCCTCCTCATACATGATTATTGTGTTCCTCATTTGTCATATTGTAACTCAAAACCTTTCGAAAATAAAAATGTAAACAATGCTGATCTTTTGGAGAGGGTAGCCAAATCCTCCACTTTTTATCAAAAATTATGAAAAAAGAAAATAGCAGGAGAAAAGTGTAGTTTAGCGAGTTTTCCAACCAAGGAGTATTGTTCCAAGAGTTCTTTATAGCCTTCTGTTCCCAAAATAACTTGAGCTTTCTTTCTACTTACTGTTCCCAGAGACTTCTCCAGTTTGGATGCCGAATGCAAAAGGGAGTCCACCTGCGACAAGAAGACAAAAACAAGCTTAATCCCTTTGCAAATCGTCTAAAATGCCTACTCCTCGGTATATTACATTTAGAACTTTGTTGACAACAGTTCATATTAAGAAACCTTCAAGTTATTTGTTCGCTTCTGGTCTTGAGTCTTTTACTTGCTTTTGGTAACTGGTTGGTACAAGTAATCATCAGGAAGAGTTTTTTGGTATATGTTTTGAAGTAATTTTAAAATGATAGCTACTATAAAATATTTATATAGTTACTTTATAGTTACTTTAAAGTAGTCTAAAGTTGCTATAAAGTAACTCTATTAAAAAAAATTCAAACATGTCTTACTCCTTAGTGTTTCATATTATATAACTTCGTTAAAAACATATCTACTTGTATAAAACTAATTATATAACAATTTTAAATATAAAATAACTATTATAATATGATTTTAAATTTATTTTATAAATTATAAAATAACCAAATCATTTTGATAAAACAGCCAATAATAGCCTTATTTCAACAAATTATACCTATTTTAAAAAAAAATTTAACATTATAAAAAATCATAAAAATTATATATATAAAAATATATAAAATTATAAAAATAAAAATTTGTTTCATAAAAAAACTTTATATCAATAACTCGATTTATAAATACTTTGGTAGTCTCAGTAAACCTATATTTAGATATTATTGACCCAAAGTTTTTTAAAAATAGTATAATCCTAATTCGTTGCATAAAAGTAAATCTAATTTGTAGTATTTAACAATTAGGCTTGTATAAATAATTATAAAAAAAATTAAAACAATATAGATCTAGTAATAAAAGGCTTAACTACATCAAGTTTTCAGATTATAATATTAATTAAAAATATAAAATAAACCTGTTCTTCCACAATATGTTGTTCTTTTCTAAAAAAAAAACACAATATTTAAGAAACTAGTAAATAATTTAAAATATAAAATTTTAAAATAAATACGAACAATAAAATATGTATTAATCAAGCCAAAAACTTCAGATTTGCAATGAATTCAAACTAATTTCGGTACACTATATGATATATCAAAAGAAAATAAGTTAGTGTTTATTTATATTAGCCCCCAAAGTATGTTATTTAATGAAATCATATTTTTTTTGAACATCACTCACATAGCCAGACGTTTTATTGCTTTTTTAGATTTTAATCAATTTTAATAGTAAAAATCTAAATCGTGTTAACATTTTGGATAGCAGAATTTAGCAGCAAAAATTTTAATAATAGCTCAACCTAATATTAATATCGCAATTACCATTTTTGGTCAAACTATTCTCGTTTCTGTAACAAATTCAAGACTAATTTCTATGGAATCGAGCCAAAAACTTCAGATTTGCAATGAATTCAAACCAAATTTTGGAATACTAAGTGGTATATTCAAAAGAAAATAAGGTAGTGTTTTATTTATGTTAGCTTTAAAAGCACATCATCCAATAAAACCATATTTTAAACATTACTCACAGCACTTAGACGTTCTTTGCCTTTTTAATTCTTAATCTATTTCGATAGTATAAGCCTAAATTGCACCAAATCTTAACAGAATTTTTTAGTAGCGATTATTTAATAACAAAACATAATAATAACATCAAAATCACCATTTTCACCAAACTATTCTCGTTTTTGTAACAAATCCAGGATCAATTTCTACGGGAGTTGTCGCCTATAGTAGACGCAAAAAAATATTATCTAAGTTGCCTATTTCACTTATAAACAAAATCCAAGATTGCATCGCCTATCAAAATTACTAACTTAAAAATTTTAATATCATTAAAATACTTACTTAATAACGTTAATAGCGCCATTTAATTTAATTCCAGGCTTTAATGGTATAACACTAAAAAAAAAAAAAGTAAAAAATAAATAAGTAAAGCATTACCGTCAATAACAAACTACTTAACGCCTTCTATCTTCTTTATCCAAGCTCTAACACTATGATGCCCAATCTGAAATCACCGCCCAAAACTTCAATGAAATCACCCTTCACAATCAACCGAATTATCGTTCACACTTTCAACCAACCACAACACTGTTCACAACTTCAACCGATAATACTGTCCACAACTTTAACCGAAATCACTGTTCATAATTTTAACCATTCACAACTTCAATCGAAAATCCCTTCAACCGACAACACTATCCAACAACTTAAAACCAAAATCACTATTCACGTCTTCAACTAAAACAACCATCCACGTCTTCAACCAAATCACTATTCACAACTTCAATCGAAATTACTATCCACAACTTCAACCAATATCACTGTCCACAACTTCAACCAAAATCACCGTCCACCAGCTTCAACCAACATCACCGTCCATAACTTTAATCGAAATCACCGTTCACAACTTAAAACCGAAATCATCAACTTTAACTGAAATCACTGTCCACAACTTCAACCAAAATCACTGTCCACAACTTCAACCGAAATCACTATCCACAACTTCAACCGAAATCACTATCCACAACTTCAGCCATCCACAACTTCAGCCATCCACAACTTCATCCGAAATCACTT